ATGCAAGAATTACAATCACAATTCACCACACAACAGAGCACCCAAAATTATGCAAAAAACACTATTTTCCCCCAAATCCCAATATCTCCAAAGACTTGAATTGTTGGGGACGTTAACACACCACTTTCCCCACTAGATAGATAAACTCAGAAAAACTCAACAGAGAAAATGGAGATCTAAAAAACTGCATAGATCAACAAGATTTAACAGACATCTATGGAATATTCCACCCAGCAGCATCAGAATATACGTTTTTCTCAGCAGCACAAGGAATATTTTCCAAAATAAACCACACATTAGGCCACAAAGCAAACTTGTCCAAATTCAGAAACATTGAAGTTATACCTTGCATTCTCTCACACCACAAGGGAATAAAATTAGAACTCAACACCAAAAGCCACCAAAGAAAATCCTGTAACACATGAAGGCTGAACAACACACTGCTGATTCACGAGTGGGTCATGGAAGAGATGAGAAAGGAAATTCAAATGTTCATGATATTCAACAACAATGAACATGCAAATTACCAGCTTCTCTGGGTCACAGCAAAGGCAATACTCAGGGGCAAGTTTATAGCTCTGAGTTCCTACATCAACAAATTGGAGAGATCTGAAACCAACAATTTAATGAGACATCTGAGCTTTCTTGAAAAAGAGGAGCAAGATAAACCCCAATCCAGTAGATGGAAAGAAATAATTAAAATTAAATCAGAATTAAATGAATTAGAATCCAAAAAATATAGAAAGAATCAACAAACCAAAGAGTTGATTCTTCAAAAAAAATTAATAAAATTGACAGACCCTTAGCAAACCTTATCAGAAAAAGAAGAGAACGCACCCAAATAAATAAACGCAGTGATAAGAATGGAAACATCACCACAGAAACAACCAAGATACAGAACATTATAAGGGAATACTTCTCAAAATTTTATGCTAATAAGTTTGAAAACTTGGCAGAAATGGGACTTTTCCTAGCAAATACTGACATGCCAAAAATGAACCAAGATAAGTTAAACCATTTTAACAGGCCCATATCAAGGATTGACATAGAAACAGCAATAAGAGACTTCCCATCTAAGAAAAGCCCAGGACCAGATGGTTTTTTAGTGGAATTCTACAAGGCCCTCAAAACAGAGCCGACACCAATATTTCTCCAACTCTTAAATAAAATTGAAAGAGAAAGTTCATTACTGAACTCATTCTATGAAGCTATGATAACCCTCATCCAAAAACCAGGCAGGGATTCATTAAAGAGAGAGGACTGTAGACCCATTACTTTGATGAACATTGATGCAAAACTTCTCAACAAAATTTTGGCCAGTCGTCTTAAACAATGCATCCAGAAAATCATACACCACGATCAAACAGGATTCATTTCAGGGATGCAAAGCTGGGTCAATATTCGCAAATCAATTAATATAATTCATCACATAAGCAAGAGCAAGGATAAGAACCACATGATTATCTAAATATATGCAAAAAAAAGCATTTGACAAGATCCAGCACCCCTTTATGATGAAGGTTCTGGAAAAATTAGGAATCCATGGAACATTCCTCAATACAATAATGGCTATATATGACAAACCTACAGCCAGCATTATACTTAATGGTGAAAAACTAAAGTCATTTCCTCTTAACTCAGGAACAAGACAAGGATGTCCACTATCACCACTTCTCTTCAATCTAGTATTAGAATTCTTATCTACAGCAATAAGAGAAGATGCAAACATAAAGGTGATCCAAATAGGGAAAAAAGAAATAAAACTCTTCCTCTTTGCAGATGACATGATCTTGTATTTAACAAATCCCATAGACTCCACTCCCAATTTACTCAAGTTGATTTAAAACTTTGGCAAAGTAGCAGGGTATAAAATTAACCCCCCAAAATCAATGGTTTTTCTGTATGCCAACAATGAGTAAAGTGTTGCTGAAATTAGGAAAGCAACTCCATTTGTAATAGCCCCACAAAAAAATAAAATACCTAGGAATTAACTTAACCAAAGAAGTGAAGGACCTCAATGATGAAAACTTTAAAAACGAAAAAGGAAATCAAAACAGAACTTAGAAGTGGCAAAAACTCCCATGCTCCTGGATTGGAAAGATCAACATCGTGAAAATGGCAATACTTCCCAAGGCTATCTACAAATTCAATGCAACACCTATCGAAATTCCCATCTCATTCTTCAAAGAAATAGAAGAGGCAATCCAAAAAGTCATATGGAACAATAAAAGAACCCGAATAGCTAAAACTATCCTCAACAGAAAGAACAGTGCTGGAGGAATATCAATACCAAATTTCAAACTAGACTATAAAGCCATAGTAATCAAAACAGCTTGCTACTGGCACAAGAACAGACCTCAGAAGCAATGAAATAGAATTGAAAACCCAGAAATGAACCTACAGACCTATAGCCATTTAATCTTCAATAAAGGGGCTAAAAAAATAGAATGGAAGAAAGACAGCCTCTTCAGTAAATGGTGCTGGCTTGGTTAACTACTTGTAGAAAACTAAAGCTAGATGCTTATATATCACGCTGCATGAGAATCAAGTCCAAATGGATCAAAGACATCAGAGTCAAAGCAGACACTGAAAACATTACAGGATGGAATAGGAGAAACCCTTTGTCTCCTTGGCACAGGCTGAAATTTTCTTAATAGAGACCCAGAAAGACAACAAATTAAAGAAAGGTTGGACAAAATGGGATTGCATGAAATTGTAGAGCTTCTGCATGGCAAAGGACATAGCTTGCAAGATCAATAGAAAGCCCACGGATTGGGGAAAGATCTTCACTAGCCATACAACAACGGACAAGGGTCTCATATTTAAAACATACCTGGAACTCAAAAAATTAAATCCCCCAACAACAAATCTTCAAAGAAACAATTGCCCAATAAATAAGTGGGCTAAATACTTAAAGAGAAACTTCTCTGAAGAGGAATGAAAAAGGGCCAATACATACTTTAAGAAATGCTCAACCTCCCTAGCCATAAAAGAAATGCAAATCAAAACAACATTGAGATACCACCTCCTCCCAGGTAGAATGGCTATAATCAAGAGCTCTAATAACAACAGATGCTGGAGGAGATGTGGACAGAAGTAAACCCTACTGCACTGTTGGTGGGAGTGTAAACTTGTTCAACCTCTTTGCAAAGGAGTATGGAAGTTCCTCAAAAGACTCCACATAGAGCTCACCTATGACCCAGCAATCCAACTTTTGGGTATTTACACAAATGTTCACAAACAAGACCACACTAAAGGTACCAGCACGATATGTTTATTGCAGCATTATTTACCATAGCTAAGATATGGAATCAACCCTGATGCCCCTCAGTAGATGAATGGATCAAGAAAATGCGACACACACACACACACACACACACACACACACACACACACAATGGAATTCTATGCGTCCATCATAAAGAATGACATTGCCCCATTTGTTAGTACATGGAAAGACTTGGAAAAAATTATATTAAGTGAAGTAAGCCAGGCCCAAAGAAATATAGGTCCCATGGTTTTCCTTATTTCCAATAAATAGTATATGCCTGAATCAAGCAGAAAAGCTCAGATAAATTTATGTTAGGGAAATGAACCCTAAATATGTACTCAAATGCTGTTTTCTTTCATGCGATTGTTTCTAACACATTTATAAGATGATATCTTTGTTGCTTTGTATGTCCCTCCCCCATTGTATAACCCCTGCTTTCACTGTATTTGATGTTAGTATAATTTGTGGAGGGTAAGGGAAAAAACGAATCGTTTAAATAGGGATACAGGTGGAAATATTGCAACAATGAGATGTACAAGTCGTTATGTTGAAAACGAACTTTACAACTTTGGTTGTAAAGTTTGTGGGGGGTGATTGGAGGCTTGAATGGGGGGATAGGGGAAGGATGGGATGGGAAGGGGAAACAAAGGAGGATGTTACAATGCTTGATAAGAAATGTACTCATTATCTTGCCCATGTAATTGTAACTCCTTTGTACAGTATTTTCACAATAAAAACAAATAATAATCTAGAAAAAAAATAATTACAATCACCATTACTCTGCCAAGAAGCTAGGCTTAACACCTTTATAACTTTTAAAAACATCCTAATTGTAGAACATCATTGAAAGCAAGTTACATTATACAAATAAACTTTTTAACCCTCTTTTGAAGGCCATTTTAATTTTAATTTTAACACATACAAGGGGCAGTTTTAGCAATACTAATCAGATCATCACATCACTCATTTTAACCATGTTTTCAGGGTCTATCTGCAGGGAAAAGGGACAGAACAAAGATGGGCAACTCAGCCCCTCCTATGGAATGTGCCTGCACCCAATCTGACTCTTTAAGGTTAGATGAACTGCGTTTGTGCCAGCTTGCCCTCTTTTACCATGTGTGGACTCCTCCCAGGGCCAGTCCCACCATCTATGAAGCACCCCCCCCAGGTCGGTCCCACCACGCATGACCAGCTTAACTACACTTCTGCCTATTCAGCCTCACCCCTAAATATAGATCTTAGGTAGTCTTCTAAATTTTCCCTTTTTTGGGGGGTAGGGAGGTTTGAATAAAATACAGTTTTAGACAGACAGAACATGTCATGTTTTGTAACAGTGCTAAATTGACCTTTCCATTTAAATTTTTAATATTTATCCTGAAATTTTAGCCAAGGGAACTAAATCCCAAACTGCCAAAGCATTTAAAAATATTAAAATTTAAAATAACAGATTTTCTAATTTTTATGTTAAAGAATCCTTAAAAAGCCATTTAAAACAGTGTGAAAGTTTTTTAAATTTTTAGTAATGTCTAAACCTCTTAACCTTTTACATTTTAAACTTAAATTCACCCAATTTTTACAGCATGTTGACAATTTTTATCTTGAACATGTTTACAAACACATAGAAAACACACAGATCTTAAAGCGTGCATAAATCAAAATCAGTTTTACATAGATTTTTTCAAAGTTTTTTTAACAAAAATTTAAGACAGTATTTTTTTAAACTAAGTACCTTTGTTAAGCTTCATTTTCCCAGGGCTCGCTTGTTTAGCAAGGCAATTCATCAACGGATCTTTTGAATCCCACCTGTTGGAGAAGGGCTGGTTGAAGGGGTCACCTAAAACTAAACTGGCCTGAATTTTATCCAATTTTAGACAAGAGCACTTTACAAATTGTTACATTGTCAGGACTCGCTGAAAAATCCAAACCAGGTACATAGCCTTCCACACTCTCTGCTCAGGCAGCCTCCACAAGGAGAAAATTCAGCCCAAGACCTGAAAGGAACCAGACTAGTCCAGCAACCTTACATATCTCACAGTGACGCGAGCCTAGCAGGTCTGTGGCTGAGCCCAGCCAGAGGCTAGAACTTTTATTTCCTCAGAGATGTTCAAATAAATAACAAAAATATAAATAAACACAAAAACCAAGAATCCACACTTAAAACAGGTACCAATTCTAAAACAGAACTAGACAATAGCCAAAAGCTGAGTTGGGGACTAGTGGGCCCTCAGTTCATTCCGACTAGAACTGCGCCATTCTCAATCAGCAAGCTGAATTCAGAATCTGTTGAGTGAGCTGGCCACCCTCACCCAGAATTTCCCCACCTCAAAAATAGAACAGAAACGACACCAAAGTAAACAAGACAGACAAGTGGGGACAAAGACAAAATCAGATCTCCATGAATTGGGCAACATCTTACCACCAGAGGATTTCTTTTTTTCTTTTTTTTTTTTAGATTCCTGCAAATGTTGATCCAGAGGCCTTCCAAGGTGGAGGAGAATTCTCAGTCATCTTGGGGCAAGGGAAAAAAGACCCTGGAAGCCATCCCCTCAGACTGACAGTCTCCTCCCCATACTCAGACCCTCTGGGCCAAGGCCCGAGGCTAAGATCTTGCTGGTGGCACTTGGTGGTCAGTGGCAGATTCATCTGGCTTAGAGTTTTCCCTGCAGGCCCCTTTCAAAGTTATTGCTAGATCCTGCAGGTTCTCCCTTCCCCCACTGCCTCCTCTTCTAGAGAATAAGTCAACCTTTGATGTCATCCTAAAATTCCAAAAGTATTAAAACGGGAGAGCGGCTGAGGTGAAAGGAGCGTCTGGCCACCCCATTCGGGGGGCTCCAGGATGCCCGCTGATCCGAAAATGAAAGTTAAATGAACAAGGAAAGGAATTAAAATGGCAACTACAAATGAGACAAAGAGAGCATGCATGTTGATCTCGAGCTCGAATCCACCTCTAAGCCATGGTTGTGGAGGCCAGACGAGTTCCTGTCCCATAGGATGGTGGAGGCCAATGAGTCCCTACCCGGGAGGTGGATAATCTACCCTTAACCCAGAGTAGCAGAGGCCGGACAAGTCATGGTCCAAAAGATGACAGAGTGAAGCGAGACTCCACTGGGGAAGGCTTCCCCAAGGGCCCAGGGAATTTCTTCAACTCGCCTGCTGGCTACCTTGTAGCACATCTACCAACGTTTCTTGCCAGCTCTAAAACCCTACTTGCAAATCAAACACATAACACGCAACATAAAGCAGCTGCACCCCCTCTTACCGGCTAGCTGGATGACTCGCTGATCAGGTATCTGTGTGGCTTATGGGGGGGCTATCCCGGACAAGCTCCCACATAAAGTGGTCAGATTTCGGACGCCCCCTCTCAGACCACCAGAGACCATGATCAATGCAAACAGCAAAGAGTCATTTATTGCAAGCTGGAGCTTGGTCCTATGTGTACTTGGTAACTGGTGATGCTAAGAGGCCCCAAGCATAAAATTGACACAGCTTTTATAGTATCAAACAAACAAGTTTAGGGGGTTTCCACACAAGCAAGTTCACAAGTTCAGGGGGTTTATGTCCACCCTGATCACACTTCCCTTTTTCAGCTGGAACACCTGGGCAACTGTTCTGTTCTTTAAAGGTGGGCAGGGTTGGTGGCAACCTGCGGTTTTTCTGAGAACTATTTTTCTCTTTGGCAGCACAGCTCTCTTTGGGGGTTACTTTGAGGGCAGCACAGCTCAGGGGGCTTGAACTTAAAATGGAATTACTTTAGCTCTTCAGTTAGGTCCTGAGTTCAAACACCAGGAATGGTGTATGCACACACACACACACACACACACACACACACACACACACACACCCCACATGGAGGCACCTTTGCCAATAATATATCATTCCATTATGTTCAGCTCCCTAATTGTCTGCCAGAAGGACTCTTGAATTAATTGTAGCAGTTTGTTTCAACACGGAAATATAGTCTTACAAAGACAGGATGAGTGCAGGGAACTTGGCCTGCCACAGAAGGTGGCATAAATGAAGGTTTCCTATCAAAACAGACCACTGGGGAGAGAGAGAGCTTGGGGTACAAACAGGCCTTTTTCTCCTGACCTTCAGAACCTGCGCACATTCATCCTCATTAATTTGCCCGGATGAATTGTTTGTTATGCAGCTTTACAGAAGTGAAACTTTTTGTCTGCCTGTTCCAACAATGAAGCCGACTTCCTCCGGCAGCCTGGGGTATGGAGACCCCTGAGGCTACACTGGGAACACTGAGGGAGCCCCGAAACATGGATTGTCTTGAAAGCACTCTGTGCTATGAAATCATTCTATTCAAAGCAAATTTCCTAGCTGGGTGCCGTTCTTCATAGCAACTCTGGATCTTCACTGACACAAATGCATGCATACATACACAGACACATGGAGTTACTGGCTCTTTTTTTTTGTGGCAGGTCCTGGGCTTGAATTGTGAGCCTAGACATTTTCCCTGAGCTCCTTTTGCTCAAGGAAACATTTTATTGTGTCTTAAACCATGATTACCCTAGGCTGTGGTGCAACTTTTACACCCACAGATGATCCAGGGATCCTAGGACCAGAGTTCAACTCCCAGCACTGGCAAAAATACATTAAACCAACAAAAATGGAGGAGGAAAAACCAGGAAATGTTACACAACAGTTTTTTCTTTTGTTTCCTTAGCACTGTGACCCTCCTGAGTCTCAATGACTTGGCTTGAAAATTGTATGTGACCTTGCATGGATGATGGCTGAGGGGCTGTCAGTGAAGCCTGAGCCAAACCAGACACCTAGGCCCTGAGATCGATCCTAGGACTGCCACCTACACACAGCTGAAGATCCTAGGAAACTCATTCCTATCTATAGGAACATTAATAGAATATTTGAAATTTATTAATTGAATTACTAACTAGCTAGTCATTCCAGTATAAGATTGTATGCAATAAATATAGGTCATTGATTAATTAATACTTTGTTAATTCTTCTACCATGATAATTGGAAGCATAATTTTATACCAAATAATTGGTAGTAATAGAATATATAAAAATAAGGTACAGACAACACTCTTTATATTGGGTTATACGTTAGATTCTACATAAATGTCTATCTGTCTCTCTCTGTATATATTTATAGATGCATATACATATGTAAATACACACACACATGCACGCACACACACAAACAAACACACACACACACTGCAATCTAAACATCTACCTGTTTATATATTGGCCATTCCTAGGGCTTGATCTCAGGTTCTCAAATTGGCCTGCCAACTTCACTTGCATCAGACTGGTGTGCTAACATTTAACCATTCATGAAGTGGGCCTGCTAGGCCCTGAGTTCAAGTCAGAGAATTGCCAAAAACTTAATCCTGTTCGAAAAGCCAATTGTTCCACTTGTTTTCTGTATCAATGAAAGTCCTGGGTCTCAGGAATGATGTAGAATACATAGGCAAAGCTATGTCTTATGTAATAGGATGCAAAATGTTATATGTGTAATCATGCTCACTCTCAAATACATAAGAAATAAAACACAAAATAAAATGAATACACTAACTGCAATATGCAATAAACATGTGTATGTAAGTATGAATCATGTATTTCAAATATATAAGAATATTATTTTTTCAAGTGCTAGGATTTGAATTCAGGCCCTGGGAACAGGCCTGACTTTCTTGTCTTCCAGCCCGGTGATCTTTCCATCCCCCACAGTGCTACAGATTTACCCACATCCTGAGTTCAAATCCCAGGCCTGGCAAAAACAATGGCCTGAATTCCAGGCTAAGGAGCCTCATAATATTTTAAATATTAAAATATTTTAAATATGTATGTATGCATGTATTTTTATTTTCTCAAGCACAGGGCTTGATCTCAGGTAGTGGCAATTTTGCCTCAGCATTGATCACTCTAGGCTGGGGTGCAACCACTGGACCCAAAGCCAAACCTGGGTTCCTGGGCCTCAAATGCTGACAGGAAAACAATAATAAATAATGCGACACAGAAAAATAAAAACTGGCAACTTACCAGATTTACATTTGTTTTCTTTGCAAAGTGACCATTCTGGGACTGAATGACACGGCTGCAAAATGTTGGTAACCTGGCATTGCTGAAGGCTGGGCCACCAGGGAAGCCTTAGGCCAACACAGCAACATAGGCCATGTGTTTGAAGCACAGTCCTGACCCCTACCAATGGAGGGAGATACTAAGAGTCTCGTTCCTATTCATAGGATTACCGATGGAAGATTATGAATGGCAAAGTTGAATTAGTTGTTTCTGAATACTACTATACAATTACATGGAGTGATTTTAGGTGACCAATGGATTTTAATGAATATTTTTGACACATTCAAAGAATAGTATTAATTACATGGATGCAATAGTTTTGGGACAGTTGTTGCTTTATTAATAATTCATTAAGGATGAAAACAAGAATACTAATTACATGGAGGCATAATAAATACCCAAGAATTGGTAGGAATGCAGTCTATATACAGGAATAATGTATAGACATCACTGGCACTCTATAAAGATCTATATTTACTTGTGTACTACCATCTGCATGTCAATCTGTTCTTATTTTGTCAACCCCTGGGGCTCAATCTCAGGTGCTAGAAATGCTTGTTAGCTCAATATGCCCCAGGCTGGCGTGCTGACACTCACCCATTCATGAATTGGGACTTATAGGCTTTGAGTTCTAATGCCAGCACTCACAAAAATTGAATCGTGGAGTAAGAATCCCATGGTGACACATGTTTTCTGATTCTTTGAAAGTCCTGGGTGTAAGGTATGAAGTTTCATACATAGGCAAATCTATATCTTATGTAATATATGGAGTAAATATTTCATGTGTAATAACAGCCAATAAAATAAATAGTAAATAAATTAATAAAAAAAATAAAACGAATAACTACACTAAGTGCAATATGTGGTCAACATATGGGGCTCGATCTCAGGGCCTGGGAACTGCCTGGCCGATGAATTGGCTAGAGGCTTCTGTGCTGACAGTCACCCATTCATGAATTGAG